GGGGAATGTAGCTAACATGGAAATTTGTCTTGTATGAATATACATAAACACACACATATGTGTAGAGCAGTTAGGTGGTGCAATGGATAGAGTGCCAGGACTGGAGTCAGGAAGACTCCTCTTCCTCATTTCAAATCTGACCTCAGACACCTACTAACTGTGTGACCCTGGGCAAGTCACTTTGCCCTGTTTGCCTCAGTTTCCTCATCCGTAAAATGAGCTGAAGAAGGAAATGGCAAACCACTCCAATATCTCTGCCAAGAAAAACCCAAATAGGATCACAAAGAGTCAGACATGACTGACCAACAACAACACATATTTGTAATGAGTTTTGCTTTTCTTGCCTTCTTAATGAGTAGGGGAGGGGGACGGGAGAGGTAAAGAATTAGAAACTGAGGGGCAGCTAGGTGGTACAGTGGATAGAGCACCGGCCCTGGAATCAGGAGGACCTGGGTTCAGATCCAGTCTCAGACCAGACACTTGACACTTACTAGCTGTGTGACCCTGGGCAAGTCACTTAACCCCATTTGCCTAGCCAAAAAAAAAGAATTTGAAACTGAAAATAAAATAAAATTGAATTAAAAAAAGAATATTGTGTAGCTATTATGATTTAATAAAAACATAAATAATCTTAATTTGGAGGTTCTCTTAGCAGATTTTCTCCATATTTTATGTGACTATTTTTCTTTGTTGTCTATTGAGGGTGTTATAATACAAAAGTTTGATTTTCTTTGCTTTGTTTCATCCATTGGTGACTGGACAGTGATCTCTCGTTCAGGATACCTGTAGGTCGGTGAAAATTGATCCTCTGATTCCACTGCAGCTGCAGTCTCTCACCAGGACAACTCAAGCATCTCCTTATTCTAGTTCATTCTCCACACTGCCTATTACAAGATGAGACCTGCTGGTTTTGAGACCACCATGACAGTTTCCCCTTAAGGGAGACTACAGCTTATAGATTCTGTGCATGGGAGCCATTGTTACAGGATGGCTCAGTTGTTTTTTCAGTTGTGTCCAACTCTTCATGGCCCCATTTGGGGTTCTCTTGGCAGAGATACTGGAGCGGGTTACCATTTTCTAAGGCTAGGCCTGATGGTTTCGAGGCCACCGTGACAGTTTCCCCTTAAAGAAAGCTATAGTCTTATAGAACATACTCACGGGAAAATACTGTCAATAACATTTTTTGAAGGGGAGTACAGTTTTGTCTCCCAAATAATATTTTATCTACTGCCAGCTTTTTTTCTTCTTGATAACAGCCTCCCCAAATAATAGTTTGCTCTGATCCCTAATATGCAACTCAGCCAGCTCCAAATCAGCATCTAAGAACCCCATTCTCAGAAGAGCACTTTGGAGCGCCCCCTTCCTGCTGAATGGACCCCTGTCTCTGTGCTTCCCACCACAGTGCTGCTCATGAGTGATAATCTATGTTAGTATGTATGCCTGAGTTGTATGTAGGGTCCCCTTTTCTTCTCTTCCTTTTCCCCTCTTCCCCACTACTTGCAATAAACTAATAAAGTTTCGCATTGAACTGACTCCCATTGTTTACCTGTTATTCTCAAAGCCTGAATCATTAAGGGGTTGTTTTCCCTGACATCTCTGGCTGGTCCATGGGCCTTTCCTTAGACACAAACTGGTAAGAGAAATGATTATTTCTCTCCTATATTAGTAACCAATTATTAATTAAGATTAAGGTTTTCCCTTCCCATTTCTTCATTCAGAAGACAACTTCTGTGGGTTATTCAGTGAGCTGCTGAAGGACATTGCTGATGGGTAAGATTGCCCAGATCTTAGGGGTATGTGCTTTTTGGTCTTGGATGAGATCCCAACTAATCATAAAACCTTAGAAACAGAAGCCAATCTAGGCGAGATCTTGCCATTAGGAAATAAGTCCCTGTCTCGGGAACTTCCATTAGAATTTAGGGTGACCCAGCTTATGAGGGAAAACCAGCCAGAGTACTCAGGTAGAGATGGATTCTTCTGTCCAGTTTGATGGAGGCAGCTGAATCCTGTGATTAGGTCATGTCCTCTGCAGGAGGAGCTGAAGACTTTTTGCCCACCTCCTCATTAACACGCCCACACTTCAGTGATTGTTAACCAATCAAGTTGATGGAAATCTTCAGGGACACCCCCTTTTCCAAAAGTATCTAAATATTCAAGCGGCCTCCATGAGGGGTCTTTGGTTTACGAGAGAAAGCCACTGACCACATTTTATTAATTATTTTCTAGCCATAATTAATAAAAATGATTGTTAATTACCCAGAAATTATGTCTCTCAGACTTTTCATTCATCATACTGGTTACCTAGATAAAGACTTTACCTATTGACACTGGGGGAGTGGGGCACTGGGGGCCCAGATGTAGAAAGCAAGAGTCAATAGGGAAACCTATGTCCTCTCAGGTGAGGACTCTTTCATGCTAGAGCTGTCACAAAACACTAGCAAAGTGATCTTCTGAAAGCATAGCTGAGCCTGCATCACTCCCCGCTCAAGAAACTCCACTGGGTACCTATGGCCTCTAAGAAAAAATACAGTTGCAGCTAGGTGACGCAGTGAATAGAGCACCAGCCCTGGAGTCAGGAGGACCTGAGTTCAAATCTGGCCTCAGACACCTAACACTTACTAGCTGTGTGACCCTGGGCAAGTCACTTAACCCCATTGCTTAGCCAAAAAAAAAATACAAATGCCTTTATTTGGCATTTAAGGCCCTTTGTAACTTGGCTCTAGGTTAATTTCCCAACATTATTATTCATCACTCCCCCTTATGAACTCTCCAGTTCTGCTGGTATTCCTGCCATTCCTCATACATGATACTCCATTTCTCACCTCCATGCCTTTGTATAGGCTGTTTCCTATGCCTGGAGTATTCTCTCTCCTAATCTTTGCCTCTTAGAACCCTTATCTCCCTTCAAGGGTCAGCTAAAGAGCCTTCTTCTTAGTTCAGGGTTGGGGAACCTGTGGCCTTGAGGCTACATGTGGCCCCGAGGCCACATGTGGCCCTCTAGGTCCTCAAGTGCGGACTCAAATTTCAGAAGTTTGGATTCAGTCAAAGGGCTGCACTTGAGGACCTAGCGGGCCACAAATTCCCCACCCCTGCCCTGCTGGTTGGCCACCACTCTCCCCACACACAAACCCCTGCGTATTTATTTTGTATATATCCTCAAGAAGCACCTGGCATGTACCTGGCACATAATGACGATGGTGATGAAAACAATACAAATAACAATTTGCAAAGTACTTTACATTTGTTAATTCATTTGCTGCTCCAAGCAATCCCCAGACATAGGTGCTAATATTATCCCCCTTTTACAGATGAGTAAACTGAGGCACAGAGTGGTCAGGTGACTTGCTCAGGTGACATAGTTTGTGAGTTTCTGAAGCAGGATTTAAACTCAGGAGCTTAATAAACATTTGCTGATTTGACTGATTGATTAGTGGCATCCAATTACGCTAAAAGTAACCAACCCAACCCTTTCTGCACTACTCTTGTTCACTTGAAGAACTCTATGCTCATTTCTTCATAGAGAGCCCACCCGCTATATGGGAGACCTTCCTTGTGTTCCCTTGACATCTATCACATGATTACCATTGGAGGGCATGGGTCATATGGCCAGCCCACATTTGTGACTGGCCGTCCATTTCCTTGATGATGTCCATTCCACCACTTCTCCAGTTGAATTCCTTTTTAAATGTGTTGTTACCTGCTCACACTATCCATGCACCTCTCCATTGCCGTTTGTGGAGGTCATCAACTTCAGCTGGGTGGAGGCCGTCATGTTGCATGTCTCATAGCCTTGTGAGGTCACTAGAAGAATACTGGTTTTGAAACGATGGGCCTTTGTTTCAGGGAAAAGGTGGAGGTCATTTAGTGAGCATCGTAATATCCCCTGAAGCAGACCATTCCCACCTTCCTCCTTCTGTTCAATGCTGGGTCTGATTCGTAGTCCATGGGCACTCTGTTTGAGATAGATGGTCTGATGGACAAGATGGTGGTCTAGCCAAATGCACATAATTGTGCATGGTAGAACAGGAATTCTTCATCCATTGGGTGAGAACACATTGAGACAAACTGGAAAAAACTCATGAGGAGAACACCTGGGGAGAGAACCTAAGGAGGTAAGTCATGGAGGGAATCAATGAATGGACCCATCGAAGAAGCCTAATTCTGGCTGCTCTTTACTCTTGCCATCAGCCTGACTGTCTCCTCCCAGCCCAGCCCCCCTCCCCAGGAGCAGCTACACCCCCTCCCATGTCCCGAGAGAAGGAAGATCCTCCACCTGGCCCTGCTGTTGGGCAAGGGAACCAAATCTCCTCCCATGACTTTTCTCTTCAAACTCACAGGGAAGTTCCCAAGAAAGCCCATCTGCGGTGCCCTCTGACCCCGTTGGGTGTCTATCCTAGGACTAGGGATCAGTATAACCCCCAGGCCTTAGCCTCACAGAAGCACCTTTGTCAGACCTGAGACCTCATGCCCTAAGGTAAGAACCATTATCAAGGCCAAGAGGGGAGGGAGGGAACCCATTTTCTTCTGGGCAAGGAGGCCTCTTTATCCTCTGAGGAGGACCTCAGAATGAGAATTTAGGAATGCCCCTGTCTGGTCTTGCCTCCTGGATCTCCCCAGGTCTGAGGGGGAGTCAGGAGAAGGGGTGGTGGTGGGGTCACACCAGTGGGAGGTCCTGGATGACCCTGGGGCACGTGCTTCCCTTCTTCTCCATGGGCAGAGGGACGAGAACACTTCTTAGGGGAGGCAGGAAGCCACTGTACCCATCCAACAGTGGGGGAGGAACCCAGGATTTGGAACCCAAGCCCTTTTCTTAAAGAGCCCACAGGATCTGACCTTGAGGAGTTCAACAAGTGGGGGAGTGAACCATAGGCGAGACTAGTCCCAGAGGGTCAGAAGCAGAGTCAGAGTCAAAGTTGGAGGCGGAGGCAGAGGCCCATCCGCTTTGTGGGCAGGGTAGGAGAGAAATCTCATCGTGCGAAGGAGAGCACAGACCCACGGAGATGTACTGGCACCTTCCCCATGACTGGCCTAGCTGTTGGAAGGGATTTCTGTTCACAGGTGAGAGAGAGGCTGCGGGATAATTCACTGAGACACGGGCTGGGACTCAGGAGATCCCACTCTGGGGCCTGACCCAGTCCCTGCCTGGTCCCCCAAGGTAGGGGACAGTGGTCTTCCCTTCCCTGGGCCTTGGTTTTCATAGGTTGTAAAATGAGGGGCAAGAGGGGAGAGGTGGGGATCTTTAGGATTTGGGATGAATTAAGGAAGGAAGGAATGACAGAAATAGCATTTAGTAACCACCTACTATGTACCAGAAAGGGCAGCTAGGTGACTCTGTGGATAGAGCGCCAGGCCTGAAGTCAGGCAGAGCTCATCTTCCTGAATTCAAATATGGCCTCAGACATTTACTAGCTGTGTGACCCTGGGCAAGTCACTTAACTCTGTTTGCCTCAGTTTCCTCATCTGTAAAATGAACTTGAGAAGGGTCCAGCATCTTTGCCAAGAAAACCCCAAATGGGGTCACAAAGAGTCAGACACAATTGAAAAACAGCAACATGTACCAGGCACTGTGCTAATCACTAGTGATACAAATACCAAAAAATAAAACAAAACAAAACGAAAAAACAGACCAAAAAACAAAACAAGACAGTGCCTGCTCTCAAGAAGCTCTCATTTTAATAGGAGAAAACAATCCAGATAGACTTCTGTTGGCCAGGAAGGGGTTTTGTTCAGGGCAGTCATGGGGACGGTGAGGAGAGGCATGGAGCGAATGATGGCTTGTCCTTTTCAGGAATGGTGGTATCCATTCAATGACTGTCCCCACAACTAGAGTCAGAAGTCATGGGTAGGGGAAGGAGTATAATGGCTTGGGAGCATCATAGTAGTCTGGATTAAGCAGACTGAGTTAAGAAATGGTAAAGGAAGCCCTGGGCAGGAGCTAGAGGGCCATTGGTCAGAGATGCACAAGAATCTGATTTAAGTTTCAGCTCTACTATTTACTAGCTCTATGATATTGGGCATCACTCGTCCTCTCTGGGCCTCAGTTTCCCCATTTTAACAAGTGCTGCTAAGTGACCCTGGGAAAGTCACTACCTCTCAGTGCCCTGGTCAACTCTCTAAGATTATAAATTGCAGAGAATGTGCTTGTCTATGTCAGTGGAGGAACTTTCCTCACCAGGAAGTTCCCTAGACCAATGAAGGCACAAATGTAGACCCCATGTGCATCAATGGACTCTAAATCCTGGGGTCCTGTTCATAAGCTTCTATCAGAGGGCCTTGGATTGGAGGGAGTAAAATCGTCTCTGGATTATTTATGGTTATATACAATATTATCATATTAATATGGTTTTATAAATATGGGGTTATTTATATCTATAGATCATTAGTAGGTAAAAAATAATAATGTAAGTGGATTGTTTATATTTTATATGGTATTATTTATATTTAGATATCATTTATGGGATTATATATGTTTGTCAGTTTTTAATAACAGGTAAAATAATGAGCCCAGCTCCTCTGGTTGCTGAGTGAGGGTTCTCTCCATCCCTTTCCACTGCTTCTTTAAGGGGAGGCCTTGGATGTGATCCTCATTAAGACCAGCAGGAAGAGGGGGAGGGATTAATTATCCCTCTCCCCACCCTCCCTCTCCCTCTCTGGGGTCCTCTGTCACTTTCTAGTTCTTTGAAGTGAGATAGCTGGGCTGTCCCACACAACAGGTCACTCAGAGATGCCCAGGGGGGTCAGGTGTTTCATAAGGAGGGGGGGTGTCTCCCTCAGGTACTTCTGATGGGAGTCCCACCTCTGAGGTCACAGGCTGAAGGGATGTTACCAATTATTGAGGTTAGGATGGGAGAAGGAAGATCCCAGATTTGGGGATTCAGGGTGGGGATGGGGTCCACAGGATAGGAGAGGGGATACCAGGGAAAAAGAGGGGGCATGAGGGGACATCTTTAGAGCCTATCAGAGATACAAGAGATTTCCCTGGGCTACTCCAATAACCTTAGACAAATCACTGAACTGTCCGTGGGTCTCCTCCCTTGTATAAGTAGGGTACTGAAGGAGATGTCGCTAAAGGCCTTGGCAGCCCGAAATCCTTGGTCAAACCCTGGGCTAATTATCTCTCTGACCGAGTGTCAGAGAGGGAGAGAAGGAGGGAGAGAAAGAGGAAGAGAGAGAGAGAAAAGAGCAGAGAGAGAGAGAGAGAAGGAAGAAGGGAGGGATAAGGAAGGAGGGAGCGAAGGAAAGAAGGAAGGAAAGAGGGAAATAGGCTGAGAAAGAGGGAAAGAAAGAAGGAGGAAAGAACAGGGAAGAAGAGAAGGAGGGAGAAATAGGTAGAGAGAGAAAGAAAGAAGGAAGACAAGACCAGCTCAAAGACACAATGAAGCTAAGAATGGGGAGGTCCTTGGGCTTCAGGTATAGCCAGGCAGTGCTCCCACCTCAGGGACTTCCCACTTGACTCCATGACCTTGGGCAAGGTCTTCTGCCTGGGCCTCATTTTCCCCTCTGCAAGATGTAAGGCTGGACAAAAGCATCTTAAAGAATCCTAGCCCTAGAACTGGGCCAGACCTGAGAGGCCATCTAGTCCAATGGCCTCATTTTACAGATGAGGAAACTGAGGCTCAGGGGGTTTAAACCCCACATCCAAAGTCACACAGACAGTAAGGAACAGAGCAGTTCTAGAACCCTGATCCATGATTGGCTGAGGACCCAGAGCCCTAAGTGCTCCTCTCCATGTCTTGCCCAGGGTGACATGGTAAATGTCTGAGGCACATTTGAACCCTGGTCTTCCTAATTCCTAGTGAAGCCACTTAATTAGGACCAGATAACCAGCGCAGGTCCTCCTGCATACCAAGAAGTAAGTATCAGAACTGGGAGTGGAACCCAGGGCTTCTGGCTATAAGTTCTCATCCCAGAGGATTCTAGGGGAAAGCCACACCAACCAGGGTTGGTTCAAAAGAGGTGGCTCTCCCTGGGAGATGCCCCAAGGACAAGTGGTAGGTCCCACCTTTCTCTGGGCTGGGGGTGGGGTATAATTCTGCCCTCAGAGCCCATCCCTGTCTCCAGGGTATCTACTTTCATGGATCCCATAATATCTGAGCAAAGTCACATAGATGATTAGTGATAATTAGTGACAGAGTCATGTAATTGTAAGAATTCAAACTATCTCCTTTTCCTTGGTCTCTTAGGAAGATGAATGAATGAATGAAAAAAACATTTATTAAATGCTTGCTACATGCTGAGCACATGCTTAGGAGGGGTCCAGTGGTGCTGACCTTGTCTTTCTCCCTTCCTTCTCAGCCACAATCCTCACCTCTTCCATGCAGCTAGTTTCTTTGGCCAAACTGAGCATAGCACCCATTCCGTCCTATGGGTCAATCGGAAGCAACGTCACTCTGTCTGTCCATGGGATCCCAAAGGATCCTCAGACTTATTCCTGGTTCCGGCAGATGATGGAGGAATCCAACAAGATTGTTAGCTATGCAGTCCGTTCGGGAGAGCAGACTCGAGGACTCAACCACACTGGTCGGGAGAGCATTTTCCCAAACGGCTCCCTATTTATCATCAATCTTACTTCTAACGATAGTGGTGTTTACATTATACAAGTCGCCATCACAGATTTGAAGCCAGTATTGGGACGGGGGCGTTTGCAAATCAATGGTAAGAGCCTTCTCAAGTAAGGTCATCTAACCCGTTTCTAGAAGATTATTTGTCCTTCTCTCTCAGTGTCTGAGGGTGGGGGTGGATTTCAGAAGCATGGAGAGGCTTCCTGACAAACTCATGGATTGTGCCTATTCTGATGGAATGTTAACTCCTTCAGGGGAAGGGTTGTTTCAATCTTGGGTTCTCACCTTTAGTACCTAGCACAGTGCCTGGCACACAGTAAGTCCATAACAAATGTTTTTTGATTGGTTGGCTGATTCATCTGAGGATGAGGCCAAGAGTTAAGAAAGGTTGGGAGATCCTCTTTCTTGTTCCTCTTTATACTTCAATTAAAAGAATTATTAAGCACCTACTGTGTCCCATGCACTCGAGGCAGGGCCCTAGAGGACCTTCCTTCCCAGCTGCAGCAGGAAGGGATGAGAGTGAATCCAGGGAAACAAAGAACAAGAAGTTGAAGGTTTGCCTTTTCCATTCCCTACCCCGGGGAGAAACATCTCCTGTCTTCATTTTTTTAAAAATCAGTATTTTTTATTTTTATATTAATTTATTTTGATTTATCAGTAATCACTTCCATATGCTTTTGAGTTTAAAATTTTTCTCCCCCTTCCTCCCCACCACCCTCCCCAACATGGCGCACAATCTGATCATCTCCTGTCTTTATAAAGACACACCAACAGAAGACAAATCCATATGTCTGGGCACTAGGGTAGCTGGGGCTGGACAGCCTGGGCCATGTCTCAGGGTCCCTCTCAGGGAAAGCACACATCTCAGCCTAGAGGAGCCAACTAGAGCTAGGGTGAGGATAGGGAATGGGACATTTCACCCTCAGTCACCTTACAATTTCTCACAATGCTTTCCTTTGGCCTCAACCCAGGTCCAAGGCTCCACCTGCCCCATGGATCACGATAGGATCTGAGCAAGCCCGGGAACTTAGAGGATCATTGAATCATAGACTTAGAGCCAGAAGTGACCTCAGAGGCCAAGCCCAACCCTTTTATTTTACAGATGAAGAAACTGAGGCACACAGGTGAAGACTTGCCCAGGATCACACAGTTAATAGGTGTCTGAAGTAGGACTTGAACCCTGGCTTTCCTACTTCCTAGGTCCATGCTTTAGGATCTCTGATCAGAACTGCAGGACATCAAAACTGGGAGGAGCCTTAAAACAAAGAATGCTGGGGCTGGGAGAATCAGAGACTCCCAGATGATAACAATGGCTAGCATTCAGAGAGCACCTTAGAAATAGTGCATTTGATCTTCACAATAACTTGGAAGGCTGTTGCTGCTGTTGGCTCGTTTCAGTCTTGTTTGACTCTCCATGACCCCATTTGGGGCTTTCTTGGCAAAGATGCTGGAGTGATTTGCCACTTCCTTCTCCAGATCATCTTACAGATGAGGAAACTGAGGCAGACAGGATTTAATGACTTGTCCAGGATCATACAGTTAGTGTATCTGAGGCCAGGTTTGAACTCAAGATGAGTCTTCCTGACTCCAGGTCTGGTAGTCTATCCACTCTACCACCTAGCTGTGCTATCTCTGGAAGGTAGGTGCTATTATGCTCATTTTTATATATGAGGAAACTGAGGCAAAATTATTTGTTCAGGGTCAAACAGCTAAGTTACTGAGGCAGGATTTAAACTCAGATCTTTAGACTACAAGTTCATTACTCTATCCGTGCTGCCTAGGGGTGTGTGTGTGTGTGTGTGTGTGTGTACTTTGTCTCAGGCACTAATATCTGGAGACTTGAGGGTGTCATTTCCTCAGGGTGGGGGATGAAGGCAATCTCAATATAAGAGGTGGTTATCACTGATAGTGGCAAAAGTGGGGAAGGAGGAGTATAGGACAGAAAATCTCTTTAAAACTGGAAACTCTCTGGAAGCAGAAACCTTGACTGCCCCCATTAGATTGGGGGCACCCTGAAGACAAGTCATTCTCTCTTCTCTTACCTGCTACTTCCCTACAGTTTCTAGCAGAAGGTGCTGACTTGGAGGGGCCTTAGAGAATGTCAGAGATGAGAAGGGCCTTAGAACAGAAAACGTCCAAGTTAGGAGGGTCTTTCATATGTAGAATGCAGAGGTAAGAGGGTCCTTAGTGTTTAGAATGTCAGAGCTGGGAGGGACCTTAGGGCAAAGAATGTTTGACCTGAAAAAAAATGTGGAAATCATTTAACCCTAAATCTGAACATGAGAAACTGAGAATAAAGAAAGACAAGAACACCTACCCAAGACAGAAAACCTAGTCCATACAGGGTTGGCCTCTGACCCAAAAAGGTCTGGGTTCAAATCCTACCTCTAAACCATCCGGGCTGTGTGACCGTGGGTAAAATCACTTCAATTCTGAGTGGTCCAAGCAACTAACTCTCTAAGACTGTAAGTTGGAGAGAAGGTGCTGACCTGCACTAGTGGAGAGTTTCTCATCCAGGAGTTCTTTCTGCTAGTGAAATCATTGGTCTAGGCCTATCCCACACAGCTGGCCAAAGTAGAACTGTTCCTCTGAATCCAGTTCTCTCCATCCAGTCCTGAGCTCTAAAAGCAGAGACACCTAGAGAGTACTGGAAAGTTGGTGTCGGCATATTTGACTGAGTCATAGACATAACTTGGCCTCTCTCCCCTGAGCCCAAGCCTTGTCTTCTCCTGAATGGATTCAGCCCCTAGATTCTTGGTCTCTGATCTTTCATTTTCTTGTCTCCTCTGTCCAGGTCCCAGATCCCTCCCCTCTGACCTCTGTTCAGAGACCCCTGGCCACCAACTTCCTGTTATTTTCATCTATAGCTCTGAGGGTGGGGCAGATGGGGCTTTTCCCTAGGGTAGTGATACTGGGGTGGGCACTGCTTCTTCCCCTCAGTTTTCCCACACTTGCTGGTCCTCCATTAGTCCCATGCCATACAGCACGGCAAGGGTCCTGAACCTTTCCTGTAGTCTGCATTCTACCACAAGTTTCTCACTCCTCTCAGACCTCACTACGCTGCTCCCTTCCTGCTGCCGCCTTGACGTGGTACCCTCCTCCCCTGTAACTCCCTCTGGGGGCAGAGGTCATGGGATTATAGATTTAGGTCTGGGAAGGACCTTTGAGAACATGGAGTCTAGCACCTTCATTTTAGAGATGGGGAAAATGAAGCGCAGAGAGGTTTTGAAGACTTCCCTGGGGTCATACAGCTGGTAACAGTTAGTCAAGAAGCATTTATTAAGCAGTTACTAGTAAAAGTGTTTGAGGTGGGATTTGAACCAAGGTCTTTCTGACTCTAAGCCCCATCCTCTGTCCACTACACCATGGTGCTACTCAAGTGTTGCCTTGTATGACCACACCTGAGACTTGGAATAGAGTATTGTCCACATATCTCCACTCCCACTCCTACTGGGTGCCAGGATTCCTAGCTACATTTCTGTTAACAACAAAAACAACAAGAAACATTTATATAGCATTTACTGTGCGCTTCACGACAGCCCTGGGAGGTAGGTGCTGCCTATCTCCATTCCAGAGGTAGGTAAACAGAGGCAGACAGAGGTTAAGTGACTTGCCCAGGGTCAGAGATTTTGAAACTATCTAAGGCTGATTTGGTCTTCCTGAGTCCAGGCCCAGCACTAACTAACCATTGTACCATGTAGCTGCTTAGATTCTAGCTGCCCTGTTCTGCTCATACTATTCATCCCGATATATAGAAGCTGCCAAAATGTGCCCCAGACCCTCCTCCCAAGCCCTTCTCGACATTTCTTTTACTGGAGAAAACAGGGCTCAAGCCTCTTCCATGCACTCGTCTGTCTCTCTTTGACTTTTTGGTCTCTTCTTCTCCAGGAACTCCCACCTCTGACCACCTTAGTGCCCAGGGAACTCTCCCTTCCCTGTCATTCAAAGCCCATCTGAAGACGTGCATCCTCGAGAGCCTCGCCCCAAGCACTCTCCCACAGGGAACTCTCCCTGCTCTGACCTGCTAATGCAAGGGGCTCTCCCCCACATGCGCCTTGTTATCTGCAGCCCTGCCTTTCCTCCCCCTCACAGAACATAAGTTCCACCAGATCAAAGTTTTAGCCTTCACTCCCCACAGGGCTGAGAACACAGTGTCCTCCAGACCCCTGGGTTCAAGGCTCAGCTTAGTTGGACTTACCGTGAGACCTTGGGCGAGTCCCTGACTTTCTTTGGGCCTCAGGGTTGGACACCATAACCCTAAATTCAGGGACTTGGGTCTTCAGGCTTCAGTCTCAGGCTGCACCCTCTCTTCTCTTGGCAGATTCTTCTAAGACCTCCCACTTTGGGTTAGTCGCCAGCATTGTTCTCGGAGCCCTGGCTGGTGGGGTCGTCATGGGTGTCCTGGGCTATTTCCTCTTCAAGCAGACTCGAGGGTAAGGACGCCTCAGAGAATGGACTCTACTGGGCCCCATTCTTTTCTCAAGCACAGGGATGAGCCTAGCTCCTGTGTGTATGTGTGGTAGGGGGTAATATGAAGAACCTTGATGATTAAAACCTCAGAGGTCTCATCATCAGTTCAACCTCCCTGGGGGTTATAGCCAAGCATGAAGGATAAGGCCCGCCTTGTTACCCCAAGTCACAATCCTTGACTGGTATTCAGGTGCTGGGAGGTTAGTGCCTTGCCTTGTTCTCACTCATCCTCCTGGGGAATGGAGTCCTACCCTGGACCCCAATCCTTTGTCTAGGTTCCTGAGTCCCAGTTCTAAACCCCTGTGCTGCTGTGCTCCTATGCTTCCCCAGAGGCTCCCTCATGGGACACCTCTCTCTTAGTCTGTCAGAGAGATCCCCTGGATCAGCCTTCCTGATAGACTTACTCTGACTTTGTGTTTCCAACTGGGACCATTTTGCCCCCGACTTGTAGTCTTGTCCTTGGTATGCTGCCTGGAACCTGGTTTTTGGCCTGTCCCCCCTATTTCTCCTGGGGACTAGAGTCCTGCCCCTAAATGCCAGCCCTCCCTATCCCACACCCTGAGCTAGTTTTTGTTCTAAAAGGAACATTTTTTTCCTAAAGTCCAACATGCCTCATCCCACATGCCTGCTGAGACTCCCTCTCCCCCTCTAGCCCCCATGGTTTCCTGTTTCCAGTTACCTACAGATAGACTCCCATGATACCATACTCAATATGCTTACCAAGTCCCATGTATTATTCCCTGCCCCATCCCTACCTCACCTTCTCAATGTGGACTGGCCCCTGGCTTGACTTCATTCTATTTCCTGCTGCCTGATTTCCTAACATGAGATGCTTAGATTCAGTCTACTTTACATACATATACATGTACACATATACATACATATACACATGTGTATATGTAAACACATATATACATATATGTGTGAAGTATTTAATATGTGTGTATATACATATAAATATATAAAACAATATTTATATATTTGTAATAAAACTAATTCTGAATTTAACCAAAAAAACAAACATTTTCCTATTCAAAGTAGAACAGAGAGAGGATTATTTGTGAAACTGCACATCTTTACTACATACAGACTGCTGTTTTAAAGAAGTGAATTTATATTAGTATTGATTGTTTTGACATTGCCTAAAATTTCCACTATATCTCTTCCCTCTGAGAGAGGAGGGTGTATATCCCTTACATGTTATAATCCTTATAACAAAGAATTTTTTTAAAGAAAAAGAAAAGCAGACAAAAACAGTCAAACTGATTGATATTGAAAAAAAAAACACCCGACAATTGACATTGTGTTTGTAGTGTTCCATTGGACCCTGCAGCAGCCCCCTGCCCCCAACTCTGCAGAGGAATGGCTGGGAAAGTGCTTTCTTCTAACTCTTCTTTGGGAATCACAGGTTGCTGTTTTTAAAAAGTATCTCCTAAAGTCAACATGTTACTTCCAAAGCTGTACTCTTTTGTGTATTAAAAAAAAAAAATGTTTCCATGACCTTCTTTTCTTTATTCATTTTTGGGCAACATTATTTCATCCCTTCATTCCCTGATGAAAAAGAAAAACTCTCTGTAAGTAATTAGCAGAGTCAGGCAAAATACTCACACACGAGTTACATCTGAAAAAATCTGTGTCATTCTAGCTCCTCGAGTCCACCCAGCCCATCAGTGGGTGAGTAGCAAGAGGTATTAGCAGTCCTCTAGACTCATGGTTGGTCATTACGTTGATGAGAGTTCCTAAGTCTTTCAAAGTTATTTGTCTTTACGATATTGTTATTGTATAAGTTGGTCTCCTGGTTTGACTTACTTCACTCTGCATCAGTTCACACAGGTCTCAGGTTTCTCTGAAACCTCTTCATTTGTCATTTTCTGCATTCCTCCTAATGCACCTTCCTCATATCTGCTACGGACCGCTTCTTGCCTGATAATCCCAATGCTTTACCTCTGCATGCCTACCAAGCTCCATGCTGTCAATTGCCTCCTCTTAATTGATTCCTCTCATGCCTTGCCCTCCACCCCATACTCTTTCCAGCACATCCTCTGTTGACCACTCTTATACTGGCACTACCTTCTCACAGACTCCCTGAAATTCTACCCACCTGTTAGCAATATCTCCCACCTCCCACTGCTAGGATGCCCACTTGGTTTCCCGATTACACGCTCACTCCAGGAAGTCTTCTTATTCTCCCAGGCTTGGCTTATGTCATTGTAACCAACTGTTGGCACTGATAAGATCTCTCACTGACCCACCGGCTTGGTTATGCCCCTGGCTTTGGCAGTTATCAGCACGGGAATGGGAGTGCGGCTGGGAAAGGAGAGTTGTTTTCATGCTGGCACAACGCTCTGCCTCTTCCTGTATCCTCAGGCCTTCACCGAGCAAGAGGGGAGATTCTGCCCGAAGACAAAGGAATCATCCTGTAAACCAGAATAATGGCGAGTTTCTGAGTTTGGGAAGGGAAGGGTCTGTTGGGGTTGCCCCTCCCCCATTTGAGCAAAACCAGTGCGGCTTAGTGGGAAGAATACTTTAGTTAGAATCAAGACTTCGAGATCTGAGTCCCAGCTCTAGTGCTCACTGTGAGACCCTGGACAAGTCACAAGGCTTTCAGAGCCCTAGTTTCATTGTCTATAAAACGGGGGTGCTCATACATGTCCCACCTTCCTTCAGATTTTCATTGCATCTTTGAACTCACTTGGCCATGCTTTTCCTACATATAGGTCATAACAGGAAAATTCATGAGTCATTGGCAAATACTCCCGTAGTTAAGATACTCATGGGTGACTTAATGAAGAAATATATCAAGTTGAATGGATCTATGCTCTCATTGATGAGAGTGTTTCCTACGGGAGTACAAACCCCAGCCTCTCTGTGGACTCTCTTCCACGTGCTCCCAGGATAAGTTCACCACAAGAGAAGTCCACCCAACATATGGAGGAGGGGGTGTCTTTCTGGACTTCTCTCCTCATCCAAGATGTACCCATGAAATATGTGAGTTGTCACTGAACCACAGAGTTGGAAGATACCTCAATGGTCATTTACTCTAGCCCACATGAGAAGGAAACACACTCTGACAGGTGGTCCTCCAGCCTTGACTAGAAGGCCTCTAGTCAAGGGGAACCCAATACATCCCAAGGTAACCCATTCCACTTTGGACAACTCTTATTGGTAGGAAGCTGTTTTCTGACCTCAAGCCTCAATTTGCATCTGGGCATCTTCTACCTATGGCTCCTGATCCTGCTGTCTTGGGGGTCAAACAGGTCAAGTCTAATCCCTTTTATACATGACAGCCCTTCAGATACCTGAAGATAACTGTCATGCTACTCCCTGCCCCACCCCAGTCTTCTGTTCTCTAATCTAAACAACCAGTCCTCATATAACATGGACTCTAGGCCCTTTGCTCTCTGGTTATCATCCTCTGGACACTCATGTCCTTCCTAACCTTTGCTAGTCAGAACTGAGCATGTTACTCCAGTCAGTAAGTCAGCCAATAAACATATATTAAATCTCAAACTCTGAACGGCCTTGATGGCAGTTTTTAAGCTACTTACCTGTTTCTGTATATAAAAACAACAAATTAGTATTGTAAAAAAATATATATTAGGGGCAGCTAGGTGGCGCAGTGGATAGAGCAGTGGCCCTGAAGTCAGGAGGACCTGAGTTCAAATCCGGCCTCAGACCAAACACTTGACACTTGCTAGCTGTGTGACCCTGGGCAAGTCACTTAACCCCAATTGCCTTAAAAAAAATATATATATATATATATATATATATATATATATATAAATAGATAGATAGATAGAAAATGTTGTAAAAAAAAAAAAGCTGTGAGTCTGTGAACTAAACCAGTTTGGAAATATTAGTTAATTTCTATGCCTGTTAAATGTCATGTCAGAAGCACAGAAATGTAGCTTTATTATAATAAATTACAAAACCACCAAAAAAACATACATTAAGCACCTACTATATGCTAAGCACTGTGCTAAGTGCTAGGGATACAAATATGAAAAAGAAAGTCCTTGCCTTCCAGGAGTTTACAATCTCCTTTTAGAGGCAATCAAAACTAAGTGACTTGCCCAGGCTCACACAGCTAGTAAGTGTCTGAGGCCAGATTTGAACTCAGGTCCTTCTGACTCCAGGGCCAGTGCTCTATTCACTGTGCCACCTAGCTGAACCAGGATCTTACACTCTAATAGAGGAAAAAGAACACTCAAAAGAATATGATCTGACTGGCTCAGAGTCCATACAGTGCAATTACTTTTTCCTTCTTCCTGAAGGTTGTGCCTCTCCTAATGCAGCCCAAGATGCCATTCATGTTTTTGGCCACCACATCACTCTGATCACTTGAAGTCCACTGAAACCCTCAGATCTTTTTTAGACAAGCTATTGTCTATCCATCTTTCTCTTGAAAAGTTGATTGTACCCAAATGAGAGATTTTTCATTTATCCCTGTACCATTTCATCTCACTAGCTTTCGAACAATGCTTGAGCCCACCAAGATCCGTTCTGGATACTGACTCTGTCATCCGGTGTGTTCCTTCTCCCAGCTCTGGGGTTCTGTGATCTTGTTGGTAGGTCATCAGCCCTCATTCTTGCTAAGAGAATCAAAGACATGTCTATGAAACGCTCTTTAGCCTTTAAAATGGTGTGGAAATCCAGTTATCGCTGTTGTTTTGTTCTGAACTTGTGATTTTATTAATGGGCCAGGGAAGGGAACGTCCCTCTGCCAATGCATACTGGTACCCACTCCACAGCTGAGAAGCTTAGTGAGCTATCTGGAGCACTGAGATTTGCAGAGGGTCACACAGCCAGGCTGCCTCTGAGGCTGGACTCGAACCCTGATCTTCCTGACTTTGAGGCCAACTGTCTAGCCACCACATCAGCCTACCACTCAGACTCATTGCCATTGACGACAATGACAAGCAGCTGCCAGTCTCCACAACTATTTTCACGTCTCAGATATGTTCCTTCCCTCCTCTAAAAGCCTAGAAGAGAAGAAGTATGCCCAGTGGCTTTGCTTCCTGGGGTTGTCTCCCCCTGTAGCAATTCACATCTCAC